CAGAACCAGAAGGACTGCTCGATCCAATGGAATCAACTCGAAGACGCCAATGCCTGTCATAGAAACTCCTATTGTGACCAATGAATACGCAGAACGAAGGTTAACCGACATTTGTTGGGCGTATTCCTCTTCGTCCTTGACGGAAACAATTAGTTGTATGCACTGTCACTCGTGATTGCTTAGTGCCTGCTTCCATGCACCAGTAGTCACTAACTTAAGTGGTTGATCACAGTTTCAGAGAAAATATACACTCCCACAATATTTTGTCTTAAGCCAAAAAAATAGCGTGTCTTATGGATGCCCACTAAACTTTATGCTTATTGTAAAATAAATTTGTGCTTTTTCATATACAGCAGGTATAGTCATAGTTCGTCGTTTAAGAGGGTTTTAAAAAGCCTATTATTGGAGATAACACTTATTACTTAAGTCGCCCGACACAAGATTTTTTGCATTTAAATTAAATAATTAAAACTAGCATGTGTTACTATAAAATATATTTGGACTTTTAGTGCCTTCAAATAAACAGTAAAACAATTCATGCTGACAAGGACAACTATGGATTAAACCTTTTGACAATAGATCTTATCTTTTTATGGGAAATCAGACTAAACTATTCCTTTTAAAATGGGACATATTTTTATAACTCCACCCTGCCTGCTGGCATAGTACAAGAGACTTGTAGAGCGGAGTTGTGTCCTAAAACTTGAAGTGTTTGTGCATTCGTTTAAACTTTTATTGTCTTTTGTTATTCTGTCACGGTGCTTAATCTTTTCATTAGTCATAACCTGGCTACAATTTGTCCGTATTTGGTTAATCTTCCCTGAATAGGCTTATCCCATTGCACTGAATATTTTTTTCGCAAAGCCTTAAATTTAGATAAAAACATCCTAAAGAAAAAACGTAAGATAAGCCAGTTAGTGGTGATCATTTCTTAAACGAAATTGTCCTCAAACGAACAGTTGCGACGAAATATCGCATGCTACATTGGATTCGGAACCTAATAAAGTTCAAAAAATCTGTTGACGTTTTCATGTGGTATAAAGAGGGTTTCAAAATGATTATTTATATTTATACCGTCGGCAATATCTACCTGTAATTTACAAAGAAAAACGAGGACAAGAGTCCATAATCAATGCGGACACTTTTTTCGCGCGTTACATGTTTATAATTCCGTCAGAAAAAGTAAATTTAAGCACTAGGCTTTGTTTCGCAACGTTGACATTTTGGAAGCATTAACAAGCTAACGCGAAATTTGAAATATCAAACCCAAAGCATGAGGTAGACATAACAGCTGCTACTCATTACACATAAATTACCTCCCTTTCATCGGTAGGTGAAGGCTATTCAGCCCAAGGCTAACGCGAAAACTTTGTCAAACTAGCAATACCCCGTTACAAGTACATGGGACACCTCTGCCACTGAACAATTAAAAATTATCAAAAAATCGCTTGCAATAATTGTTATTGTTTATGCACAGCAGTATGCAAATATGTGTTAAGATACGCCAGTCAGTTTACACTTGCAATTTTAAGTAGATGCAACCAACAATATATTACCAAAACATTTAAAGTTTTGAGGTCTTAATCAAAAAGTAAAAGTAATGTGAATCTTGCTCCAATAAGTTTTTTCATATGCTGAATCACGACCCCTGAAGTCAATGTCAGTCAATATTTTTTTCTTTCCTAAACATCACTTTGCTAACATATTTTTCAACCATTTTCCTAGTGATAATAACTATGTGCTTAAATTGATAACACCTTTATATTGTTTAGGCATATGTCTTTAAACTTTCCATATATTTCCTTTGGTATATATTAACATATATTTATGTAGGTTTGTGGAGCCCTTTTATCTCAATTTCCTCCTCGAATAAGTTTAATTGATGCAATTGAAGACTGATGAACCGTTCATAGGTTAAACCTATTAACCGCTATCTATAGAAATTTCCTACTAAGCTTCCTCCAGTGCAAACCCCTAGTATTTTTTGAGCCTACGCTTGAACAGCCTCTTGTTATTTCTGAACATATAAATGTACAAACTAATAATAAACCTAAAGACGCTCCCCGTTCGAAATATTTTCCAACGATATTTATCTCTTTTACCGCAAAAATATATGTTTGTTTTTCGATGTGCCCATTTAAACAAGTAAGTGGAAATTTCTACGAAAGCCCCCTGGCCAAATACCTAATGATATCGGAAACATATGCTTGAAGTCATGGACACAAACCTGGATTACGCAGATGAACGTGTGAAAAGAACACTTCATCGACTCCAAAGTTATGCTCTGGTATTAAGATCAACGCTAAAGTGTGTACATTTTACAGAAGTACTGAAAATTTAATTTGTTTTCTATGGCACTTCAAAACCTGCCCTTTTTCTGCTTGCTCGGACTAGATATTTTGCTTGTCGTGGGAAGCGAGGGGCTATAAAATCTAACGCCCACACATCCGAAACTAAACCAAATCCGGGTTCTGTGTAGGTTTACCAAACGTGGTAAAGCGATTCCACTGCATGATGAAGTACATTTGACTTCAAATTTTCGCAGTTTAACTGACAATATGTCAAACAACATCATCAGGTTCACTCCGAAAGAAGCAAAATACAGTCTTTTTAAATGACAAAAAGTGTCTTTTTAATAAATTCAGGTAATATTATTTACATTTGAATTAAAAACATAAAAAAGCATAAAATAAATATCCACGTCTGCACTATACAAGAAATGTTGGAGCGGGAAAAATCTGAATGGATATTTTTAAGTAATTTAAAACTTCACATGGCAACCAGGCAACTTCACAAAAACGAAAAATGGAGAGGCAAAATTCCGAGTTTTTAAGAAAACAGATTAGTTTAAATCAAAATTACATTCAGTCATTAATATTTTTTGTTCTTCCATTGAGAAATGTGATCTATAATTGCCTTATAGGCGTACATAATAAAATCTCCTACCCAATAAAAAACATTTATTCTTTGCTCAAAATTTACCTCGAGAACGTAAATGTTTCTGCACTTTGTAACAGGAAACCTTTTATTCGAGTCCATGCTTCAATCTATCCAAACATGCGTACAGAAAAACATAAAATGATTCGCAACGTACCAGTGACTTGCACTTTTGCGAATAATTTACTTTCCTTTTGAGACAACACATATCGATCACAGTGGTTTAGTTCTAGTAACTATGAATGTGGTAGCCGTCGCAACAAGTTATACTTCCTGAGTACTTTCTGGGGTTTCAAAATATAAAAAAGTAAACAGAAAAGCCGCCAGAGCTCATCAGAAGAAAAATAGTCACTTCTTATCCGAGAGTTCTGATATATGGGAAGGGGAAATGGGTTCCATTATGAACTCACGCAGTTCCACGAACGTACTGGAGGACAGCGGTACAGTTTTATGTGGGAATCGAAGTTGTAGACCGAAAAGTCAAGAAATTATTGACGTGCTCGAGGAAATGAGTATTATATTACTGTGAACTTTCAATCGGTTAATAAGTTTATTCAACGAAGAATGTCCATTTTGGATTTAAAAGGTAGCACCAAGTGTTGCTTAACACCGACCTCGAAATAAGTGGTATGAGGAGCTGTGCGATGTTATATAAAATGTGCGAAAATAGACCGTCTTCCCTTTTTTAAATTACTGCCAAGAGTTCTTAAATCTTCTAGTCCAGGATGACTGTATTTCACATAAACAAGTCGTATTAAGCAGTTTTTCTAGTAACTGTGACCTAACAAGTTATGTCCAGGAGACTGAACATCACACATAAAGAGTTTGTTTATAAGCTCGTAAGCAACTGTATTCTACCGAACTACGTAAATATGGCAAATAATTAGAATGTTGGAGGGCTACCCAGCAGATCGTGGCTTCGAGTTGCAGTTGCCGCAAACTCTAGGGCTGAATATGTCTGACCGCTGAGGGTCAATAAGTCGGAAATGATCATTCCATCCTCACCTGCCATAGTCGGTCATCTTATTCCGTCTATATAACTAGCCGCTATGCAGCTGCTGTCGTAGTAAGCAGCGATGCAGAGCAGGACGCGAGGGTCTTCCCAGTGATCTTCTAGCGTACATTTACCACCAGTACCGCTTAATATCATGTTCTCATT